TAATTTTGGGCAACTTTTGAAAGTACTGTCAACAAATATCGTGTTTAAACTGCATAATGCTTGTAAATGACGAACTATCAAGAAACTTAATATATTTGTTTCGTTATTATTCACTAACAAAAACGTATTGACGGTGCAATACCAACGTTCAACATAATTTATTAAAAACTTGTTAAAACGAAACTTATGACCAGCAATCACTTTTAATGGTTTATTTTTTTACTTTGCTTTGTATTATTTATTTCACTATTTATCACGTTCATTATCAAAAATCTCCACGTGAAGTCGTATAGAACGGTTATTGGTGAACTATGGTGTGTATGTAATGATACTACAATATAATTTAGCAAATAAAGAACCGAATATATTCTTTTGATACAAGTCTTTATTATCAAGCCATCAATAAAAACATTAGAAAAATTAGTTTAACGGATTTTTCCATCGAGCGCAATAAACGTATACATTACAGAAATATAGGCCGCAACTTACGTACGAGTATGTTACTGTCGGAACCTTTTTTTTTGGGATGCAACATACATTTCCGAATCTACTATGGCTTTTGTGGGACATGTTTTTAAATCATATATCACAGACAACGTTAATAAAACATGAAAATAACGAGTATTTATTAAGTATTAAGTATATATTGATGTCTTATTTAAAGCGTGCTTATTATTTACTCGTACATACTTTTATTGTTTTAGTCGGGTTACTGAGTTCTCACGAAAATAATTCCATTTCTAAAATGAATTAATTAAAACCGTCGGTTTACCAAAAAAATATAACTGTGTACAACGTTAAACCTTTTTTAATGCAGAAAATTGTGAAACAAAATATTAATAAATATCGATTCAGTGTAAAGTAAACACCCAGTTTATCCATATCAATTAATAGACATTTAATATATATGAAATATAATTGAAATATAATTGAGTAAATTCATGAATGATACGACATTTAGGTCAAATAAAATGAATGAATACTAAAAACAGTATTATACAGCCAATATATTTCAACATACAGTACATCATTAATTGTTTTTACACTCTAAATATACAAACAATTTACAATCACCAAATATGTAATGTTGGTTATTGATTACGTTATAATCGCAAGTTACACAAAAATATTTAAAAATGTATAATTTTGTTTAAATTACTTCGGTAAATCTTAAATTTGACAAACACGTGTATGAAAATATACAAAAAATATCGTTTACAACATATTATAAAGATTTACAAGGTTATATTATTTTTAAGGTAAATTCAATACTTATTTTCTCAATGAACTTATCGATATATATGTCTTTGAACAAAAAATTATTTAAAAACTATTTGAAATCGTAACTGTGAAATATTTTTACAAATATTAATTTTCATATATTTTTTATCTTAAAAGCTTTTAAATGATCAAGTAAGAGTTAATTTAACTACACTATGAATTTATAACATTTTGATAAAGTATAACTATGAAGTAAAGTATGAAGTTATGAATACCGTAGTATATGGTTTTAATAAATAATGAAATTAATTTTTATATTATAACTACAAACACGTCTTTGTGTTTCAGTCAAAAAAATTTACTATACATGTATATTTTATAATTTATAGTGTAAATTAATACGGTGTAAGTAAACACTAATACTTTATATAATGTATACAAGTGTACTCGAAAATCATGTTGAATGTGAAAATAAATTTAAAGTATAGTATAGTATAGTTATAAATAATGTCAATAAATAAAAATCAATACTATAATAATATTATATAAATTTTATTTTAGCAGAAAATTCAAAGGTGCTGATATTACCATTTTATTCATTTTCTTCGGACGTTATTTATTGTTAACTTATTCGGTAGATATAAACACTCTGACAGTTATCTGATTCATTAACCAACACATATCTACAGTGGCCCTGAACACCATATTGAGGTCAGGCTTTAGCCTGACACCTTTTGAAAATGTAGGATGGGGCCACTTCATATTAGGTTGAAATTTGGCTGCCTTTTTGTATGAAAGCTTCATTATAAAATTTGATAACTCGATAAAACTTATAGTGCAATGAATACAATATTGTATCAAGTAATAATGTTTATTGTTGGGCTTTCATTCCACTACAAAAGAACAAAATTGCAAATTTATTTTGTGCTTTTAGGTTATTGAAAAAAGGTCGAATTGCGCTTTTGGGTTTCACCGCACTTAGCAATCTTGGTTGTTGGATATTACAAAACATTTGTAATTAAAATTTATTCGAATTTGTTCACATTTTTTTAAATTTTTTTATAAAATTGAATATCAATATTTTTAGGTAAAAATCATTAGCTCCCTTTCCCTGTTACGTCATCGGGCTGAAATTTAATTAATTAAAAATTAATTTAGAAATATTTTACTCCATATATATTCTATTTATTGTTAGTTTTATAAATACATGAGCGGTTTTTATCACATTATCTATTCTTTGAAATATTTTCTACCTTAATCAATAAGCAAATTTTGAAAGAAAAATTAAAACAACTCTCTAATATCATAGTTTTTGATAGTATTATATTATACTATAATTTATAAAAAAATAATAACTAAAATAAATAACGCCTAGTTATATGATTTTTTGAAACAACGATTTTTTTAATACACAAGAAATATTTATCAATTTTGCTTGTTGCCTTTGAAATATTATTTATTTTTAATGATGTATAAAATTAGTGTTAGTTCATGATATGTTATAGGTTCATATATATATATATATATTATTTGTATAACATACAAAAATATAAGTATGTGCATAACCTCTCCTCCCCAATGTTTAATTCTTAAAACTAATTTTAATTTTTACGGATTTTAAGTACATGTGTTTACGTGTATTATAATATATTTCCATGGAAACATTAAATTATAATTTAAATAACAAGGCGTATTGTTACCAGACAACAGTAATTATATCAATAAAAGATTACAGATAATTAGTTTTAGAATTATTCATGAATTTTTATGTATAAATGTTAACAACTTTTTAGGAGTTATTAAAAAAAGTTTTAAATTTAAATAATTATACGAAAGTAAGAAGTATAATAGTAAAATGGGAATAATTTATTCGACGTTGAGAAGAATTCGCGCAATATTCAGCAACGGACGGAAAGCAACCTAGTCGAGAAGTGAAACTATAAGTTTTATGCTCCCTCTTTTCAACAGGCACCCTGAATAGATGTAGGTTCAGAACGCCCCCCCCCTTAATGCCAGCTCAGCACGCAAAAATATTATATCAAAAACTAAAATTAGAAAAAACCAATTTAATTGGTAATAATAACTTTTTAAAATGCTTTTGAATAATTTGAATAATACTAACTAAACAATACGTTTTTACAGACTCAATGATGTTGACTTCCAGTGATACAACCTGGACAAATAAGTAAATCCAGTCATTTTTCAGTTGTAAACGATAGTCGGTATGCGAAACTGAATAATAATTAATATTGTATAACATTTCATCTAAATCATAACATTTATTTTTGGATAACACATATAAACAACAATCAAATAGTCCCGACACGTAGAACCGAGATCACTAGTACCAATTATATATATGGTGGATAATAAATCGATGCAGAGATTGACTCCTAAAATTAGTAATCCATATTCACGAATTCATCAACAACCTTATAAAATGGTGATAAATTAAGATTATTATTATCGTAAGATGTATTAGAACAAAATTAGAATAAAATATTAATAAATTTCTTGCGGAATCACGGAATACAAATCAGATGAACGTTGAATCAACTAAAGACTCGGAAGAGAACTCAGTGTTCGATCAATCATTGGTATCATATTGATTGGGATTAGAATACTTTTGTCTTTTACCTATACAACTATATATTCTAATAAATAATAATATAATATTAATTATTACAAATAATATAATACTATATTACATTATATTATATACAATAATCAATAAGTCCCGTACGTAGAACCGAGATCACTAGTATCGAATTTAAGCTTCCAATGATTCAACCTGAACAATGAAGTAAACCCAGACATAGTTCAGTAGTAAACGATAGTTGGTAAGCAAAACTGAATAAACATATATACTTAGCAATAAATTTATTTTTATTGAAATTATAATATTCGATTTTTTTTTCGAGCACATAAAATATTTTCGTTGTACAAGCTTAGATTCACTATCAAGTTATTCATGAAGATTATTATTACCATTCCGAATTATAGTTGACTATTTAAACTGGTCGCTTGGTAAGAAATCAGACGAATACGTAGAAAATTTGTGCCATTTCTTAATAATCGTTGGCAAGAAATTGAAACTTTTTGAAATTTCATGATTTTCAAAATCGATCTTCGTAATAGTTGTAATTTTATCGATTAGTCATGTAGTTTCAAAGAAATAATAAATAAACTCAATCTGCAGGTTAGTTCAGCGGTTCCCAACGTGGGGTGCGCGTACTACAAATGGTACATGAAAAGCTCGTAGGTGGTAAGTGGAGAATTTTTTTTTTTTAAGAAATAGTTTATTTTTATTATTATTATCGTTAGATACTATCTATTTTCATTTTATATAAACCGATTATATAAATATCTTAGACATAGGAACAAAATTAACATAAAATACAACTTAAGACTTAAAGTTACCAACATGGAACCCGGTATTGACGTACATGTACCTAGCCTCCTCATTAATGATATATTAGAAAATTATTTTGCAGACATATATTATCAGGTACGTGGATATAAAAATATTGGAAACCACTGCTTTAAAAAAAACTAATTGTTTTTTTTTAATAATTTCCAGTGTATCCGAACTAGATGAGACCGCTTAATTCGGATAATCGAGGTTCTACTGTACATATATTATATGTATTCTAATTTCGAAAACTATATATTTATTTCTGTATTGAATGTAACTAGGCAATTATTTTAAATTTATTAAATGGCTACCGAACCCTTATATTCGCATTTTATTGTTTTAGTATTATTAAATAAACATATACCTCTATCCTGTTTGCGTTTATAATCCTTGTATAGAGAGTAAACACTTTTTGCTCAGTTACTTTTCACTCTATCCACTTAATATTTGACTGCAATATCCGAATTTTTTCCGAAATGTTTGTTGAAGAACTCTATTTGTTTTTACTTCTGCAATCAGAGTTTATTTTATGATTAAAAATAGGATATGTTACTAATTATGATGATGATATAAATTTTGACAGTTATAATATGATTTTAAGAAAACACTTAAAACCACTTTGCTTTCCATAGCCATTGTTTAAAATCAGTTTGAATATTTAAACATTGTTCTTATGATCTAGGATTTGATATGGTTTTTCGATGGTCAAAAATTATCGTAATGATATACGCTATTGTAAGCTAGATAATCAAAGTAATATTATTACTTATTATCTCTTTGATATATTTTCTGTCAGTGTAATAGACTATATACTATATACTATGTATGATATACAGAAGAATGCGTGTATATACTGTATAGCAACGGTTCTCAACCCGAGAGGCGAGCCCCCCAAGGGAGGCGTAAAAATGTTTAAAAAAACAGCGAAACACAAAAATGTTATTTTTGATTATTTTGATAATTAATCGAGACATTATTAAGTCACAATTTATTGGAACTAAGCAGTGTCAACCGTCTCATTAATTTTTATTTACTTAATAATAATACATTTTAAATTTAATATTTAAGAAAATTAGTATAATATAATTTGTTTTAACAAAATAAAATTATAATAGTATTTTTTTTCTAAAAAATGAAGTCATTAAATATTTAAAAAAAAACTTCATTGATTTTTTATATTATTATATTAATCCAATAACTAACATTAATTCATATTAAACGGAAGTTTAGTTGCTAAACAGTATAAAAGCTACATTACAGAATTAAAGCCAAACATTAATATTTTTGGAAAAACCACCATTTTCTCCTGTACTTAATTGTGACCTATTAAAATATTTTTCGCCTGATTATTAGGACTTAGGCGTCAATGCATACCTTTAAAATGCAGTTTATGTCGTATAATATAGGTTGAGATTATATTAACAAGGAAAATTTCTTTATAAGCAGAGTAAGCAGCTGCCTAGAGTGACAACATTTTAAATAATGGAGTAAAGAGCCTAGTAAAAATTTTATGTGAAAGCCCATCTAATAATACCAATGATATACACTTTATTATAGGACTTACGGAAAAAACGATAATAATCAATATTCCTAAGCTGTTTTTTAGAATTGTAGTTTTACAGTCTCAGAATTTAAAGAAATCAGAGACAAAGAACGAAATAATTAAAAAAATATTATGTGGTAATATAACTAATATTTGATATTTTATCAAATTTTTTCTTTTTTTTGATTATTGTCGTTTTTCTCTGTAGCTCTCTAATTAATAAAACAGTTAGTGAACTTAATGAAAATTTATGCATTAATAAAATTTTAAAAAACTAAACATGTTTAAATAGAATATCCTATTTTTTATGTAATGCTGATTTTAATCTTATTATTAAAATATCTATTATTATACAAGGTTTTAATTTTTAAGTCATATTTTAACTGTCTTAGTATTTTATTTTATTAAACAAATTACATATCTATGAACTCCGTATACCAGATACAAGTTACAGGTTTAGTTGGTATTAGCTATGACTAATGTAATTTATGTATTCAATTGTAATTAATTTGGCTAAAATAAATAAATTAAATTAAAAATAGAATTACAATAAAAATAGTGTTATTAAGAAATGAAACACAAAAATATTTATTTTAGGCATATAAAATTGATTATTATTTATTATAGAATGTTTTATCGTTTTACTTCATTTTCCAAACTATAGTTTATATTTTATTTTATTAATGATGGTACAAAAGAATTATCTTTGTATGATTTCATTATAATTTAATGTATATCCATTGAAATTTATTTAAGGTAGCTAAATAACTCAAAATCAATTATTTTTATTATTATTATTTTTTTTATAATTTTGGTAATACATTTTTAGTACCTAAAGAAAAATATAAAAAAAAATTTAAAACCACCTTTATATATTAGATATCATGAAAGCATTGAAATGTTCACAAAACCTTCAGTCAATCGTTCAAACACTCGGTTAAACAAAAATGTAAAACGCGTTTCACAGCATTTACATGAATAGATAAAAGAATAGGTTTTTTTTAAATTTTTTTTCTGTAATTTAAGTCAATTCTAGACGTTTTACCGTGGATTACCCTGAATTTTCAGAGAATTCAACAAAAAGTGATCGAACAATTGTTATTGAACATTGACCGTCGACGATGATCCCTTAAGTTTACTTTCATACACCAGAGAATCCCACAAAATATTTATAGTTCGATAAATGGTATACTGATATTTTAAAATCTGTATAAATAAAAATAATAATAAGTAATAAAATATGATTTTCGTTCATCGCCACTGCAGAACTTATAGTGGCTCAAAGGGGCTCAAAGTAGCGGAGATGGAAAACGCATGGGGACCTAGTCCACCTACTTCCCATCGTGGTTAAATACCATCTTCTTCAACGCGTCTACGAATTATTCACTAGAACACTCAAATTTTCGACCAAAATAATCACCGACATAATAAATTGGTTACAAATTTATAATAATATTTTAAATAAATTTGTTTTGTTTTATATAATTATAATTAACTATTTTGTTTAGTCGGCGACGGTCGATCTTAGCTGATGGGTTCGAGAATACAGGTATTTAACAACAAAAAACCAATTCGCATTAAATATCAATGACGCGTATATTATGTAATACGTATAGTAATTGCACGATTCAGGTCTTCGTAGTTGCATATTATAAACGCAAGGGGCGTTTTCTGCTACTTTAAGCGCTGTGCGGTAATATATTGGCGATTTTAAACGCAATTTATAAACACCTATGTTGTTAAAAGGTATTTTATATTAGCATCACTGTATGCGCACTAATTGTGCGATACATGGCGTGTCCGAGCAGCTAACATAGTTATCGCGCACGCGCTATGCATACTTGTAAGTGAAATAATAATTTCCATTCCATATTATCTACACCATACTAGTATATACCTATACCATACCTATGTATTCGTTATTTCCGCGTTAACTACAATACGGTATCATATTATAACCAAAATATATAGTAAAATTATAATACCTATTATATTCTTATCTCGTTAAAATGACCTTATTATAATTGTATATCTGTTTATTACATACAGGTACAATATTATATTTAGTTATATAATATGCACTATCGTTATTTCAATATGTATATATGTTATAATTGAGTAAGACTTTAAAAAAGAAAAAAAACATTTTAAGTCACTATTTTTTAAAAACAAAGTCAAATAAGTCTTATTTTACTATTTAATGAAACATATAACCAAAGGTAGACTATTTAAAATTAATATCAAAAATTTGGTGATAGTTCAAAAAGTTTATTAAGTAATCGTAGTTTTTATAAAACTTCAATTTTATGACGTACATTGTATATTCAACTATTTTATAGAAGACTTAATGACAAAAAAAATGTAGTTTGAACGGAATATGTTGTTTTAATAATTATTAATCACACAGTTATCGGTCTGCGTGAAGCACGTGTCCGCCCGCAAAAAACACTATGCAAATTATATTTATAAATATCAATATTCAATATACATGCATGAACATAATCAAGTACATGTGTGTGTGTGTGTGTGTGTGTGTGTGTGTGTGTGTGTGTGTACACTTAATTCACGGCCTTACAATACGTATATAAGTACATATTGTCGGACATTTATTGTTTTTTATTTTCTTTCCTATACATAATTTATTCGACGAGTACACCGGGCTTTTTGAACGGGCCGCTGAATAACAATCAGCGCTTTACCGAGTTTTTACCAAGTGTGTAATATAACATTTCTCTCTCTCACACACACACTCTCTTGCCCATTCTCACTCAACTCGTTCTGTCTTTTAGATGTATATAAATACACGACAATACGACCGTTGCTCAGCTGAATACAACTATTGATTTGCACGACCGTGTACGTGGCACAATAGTGCATTAATCCGTGTGACACACGAGATCCTAGTAAAATTTCGCAGCGGATAAACGGGTGCGCACTCTTCGCGATTTTTTGTTTGTTCTTTCTCTGACTACATCTTTATACCCACTGTATGCAGTATATATATACCCATCATATATGTATAGCTACGACGCCGACGACGATTTTATGTAAAGCCGTGAAAACTTTTTGAAGCTATAAAACGCGATAATCTCGCGCTAACAATTTTCCAGCCAGTTTTTAAAAGAAAATAATGTTTGCCACTATGAAACAACAGTTTCGAACGGATATCGAAATACTTTTAAGAATGCGTATTGTAATATATTAAATAATGTTATCACAACTATCTAAAATAACAAAATATTTCTAAATATATATAATCATCTATTTTTTAATATAGCAACCCAGTGGTGACTTAAAAATAAATAATTACTCAACTGTAATAAGATTAAGTTTGAAAAATAAATAAGATGCTTCATAGTTTTTACTTACGTTAGGCATAAAATATAAAGAAAACTAACATACAAATATAATTATAAGAATAATAAAAATATTTTTATTTTGTCAAGTCTAATAATTGTAGTCGTATAATTGAAATTTTTTAAAATTGTTGTTGAAATTCGTTAAGTTCTTCTTTTTTGTTGATACTTTTTTTTAGCTAATTCGTTAAAACGTTCCTCCGTTATGGATAATTTTAAGTATGTTTCAATGTTGAAAATTTTCTCACTGGTGTAGCTGAATAAATAACCTAATGATGATTTAATTATTAGTATACCAACATATTATAATATCAGTTCAATTTTAATCATAGATATCTATGGACTACATACCTACAGGAATACATGTTAATTTGAATTACGAACGAAATCAGTTGTGAATAAGTTTTAAAATTATTTTTTAATATTTGCAAATGCTTTTTCACTTGTTAAACGTGCACCGAACCACTTTTGGACAACTTCTTAGATAATACAATTGATATATGTAATACTTCAATGTGATCATTTGTTATTGTCTCGGAAGTTTCCACAAGCGCAAGGAAAAACTTGAAAACAATTTTAAATTTTATCTACCGGGCACATTTATTTAACAAAATAAATGGATTCTATGGTTCAACTTTATTTTTTAGAAGGGTTTATCCCTAAGACATTTAACTATTACAATACAATTAGAAGATCAGACAAAATATGTTTTTCTTATTAATAGAAATGTATAAACATTAGAAATACTAAACAATGAAACATATAGATTATTTTTTATGAATATATTAACGATTCGTTTATAAAGTATTAGAATATTCAATTCATGTAGTTTACTATGGATTGCGTTCTATAACCGAATGTAATGATTAATCAATGGTTTCAAGTGTACAAACAAATGCAATTTACTTGGAAACAGTATCTTACAGGCTTTCTGTATTTTACATATTCAGCTTAGTAATAATATTCACGTAAGTAATAAGCATCTTAAATTATAAATTATTATAAACTACATCGAAAAACATAAACGAGTAAAACAGGTGCATTTATAATTAATACTCACTTGGATAATATTTTAACTGTTGTCAGGTAGCTCAGCGGTATAATATTCTTTCAGTTGTACGTCTACGAATAATATACTATTACAATGTTAAAGACGTGTTATTGATCATTTAAGACCTGAATTCCATTACACTCAAATATATTATGTATACAATATTTTTTTACCTGGTGTAAACATTAGACAGCACTCCTCTTAAATGTTTCGTGAAGTCGATGTATACATTTTTTTGAATATAATAACTATTGTGTGTTTAAAAGAACGATTAAAAATAAAAATAAATTTTAAGATTTGGAATCATATTAAAGTAAAAAATCTGATGAAAAATATAGTAACGTCTAAGGAACAATATCTGTTTCATTTAGTAGAAATTATAAAACCCCTTTAAATATAATATACTGTAGCTCCAAACAGTCCCACCTATACTTACGAACTATTTCGAATGATTCGGAATAATATACAATATTTATTGCAATATAAAATATTACAAATTAAAGTGTTAAATTTAAATTGTCACATCGACATCGACTATGACATTCACTTTTACTTTTATATAGTTATGATATATTATTTTGTGTTGAATAATCACAAGTATGTCTTTTAAACAAATAATTGTTAAATTATCAATTATATGTATAATATTATATTATATAATTAGTTGAGAGTTTATAATTTAAAATTATTTATTATTGTAATTCCATGCGAAGATGGTTTGTACTATATTTTTATACAATCAACGAATAAATATACGCACAAACAAATATCATAATAAAAATATATCTATAAGACCACGAATATCCAGCTCAAATTGAATATTTTAACCGGTTAAAATTTTTACATTCTAAAAAACTAATAAACTATTTGCTGAAATATGTGAACATCGTTATAGCCGTACGATTAGGTTCGATCCTAGTAGATTGTCGGCCAACCGCAATACATTGTACAGTAACAAACTTTAAAATATTAATATAATAAAATAATAAAATAATGAATACAATTAATATAATAAAAATTTTAAATATTAAAAATGCTTTTGTGTTAGAACGTTTTAGAAAATTAAATTAATTTCTTTAAGTGCTGTGTTACATCTCAAATAATATTTATAATAAAATTATAATTGAAATATTTTACACGAGTATTATCGTTATTATATTTGTTAGGTATGATAAATCGATTTAAACATGTGATTATTAATCAAAATAGGAACAAAATATTATTCGAATCAATGATCTGTTTTGTACGGCAAAAAAAATAGCCTAAACAGGTATGAATAAAATAAAAACTAACTGTTTAGTGAAACGTGTGATAATTTGTATGTGCCTCGTTCCTTACCTATACATATTTGTTATGCGTTCGTTCTTTTTAGAGTACACAATCAAGCATACTTATAGGTACCTACGCCAGTTTTTGTTTAAAATACAAAATACGCTAGGTAACCATGGAATTATTCGTCAAATATTGAAAATATATTTAAACGAGAACCATTCGCTTTCTTCCAAAATTATCGAAAATCGTTCAACATCATTTTTTGCGTAATAGGTCCAGAGTTCAAAGATTATTTATAGGTTATTATGATAATGTGCGTTAATGTTTTAATAAATCAAACTGGAAGTTCCAAAGAACGAATAATGATTAACGCTGAAGGTCATTTAATGTATATTTCTTAATTATTTACTCGATGAAAAAATAAAATATCCTAATCTAATATTACTAACCTAAGTGTATTATACGTTACTTTTTTCATCTTTTTCAAACGCACTATTGTCTAATCATTGCAACATTGCAATTTAATACTACCGTAATGCTTGTAAAATTACATTTTTCACTTATTATTAGCAAAATATACGGCAATATATTCGGAAGCCAAAAAAATGTACGTACTTATATCTACGTGTATTCATTAAAAGCACTAGTGTAATGATAAATGTTTTAGTCGCGTGATTAACAAGAATGTCATTTATACATATTATTACGTTATGCGGTGCACACACCCGAAGCAAAAAAAAAAAATGTTTTGCGTTACAGAAACAAAATTGTATTAAAAACGAATAAATTCGTAGCGCACTAACAAGCAGACGCAAAGTCTGACTGTTATGATTCGGTACCGTGGTTTATCGGCAGCTGACCGTGTTTATACAGCGTACAATTTGTACATATGTGACCATGGTCAAGGGTAAGATCTTGAACAGAGATTTGGAGAACCTGGTATTTAACGGAAGTCATTAAATAGCGAATTATTCAGGGTCACCGAAAAAAATAAAGAAATGTTAAACTGTACGATACTATACTTTTACTTTCCGTATGGTATGCTGTATACTTACCAGTATAATAAATAGGACTCGGATTTTAAAGAAAATGCTTCTTTTTTTATAAATGACATGGAAATCTAATTTTTTTACATAAATTCGTTACACGTTATTCTGATTTCAAATAAACCAATTAATTTTTGCTCTTTCATCTTTTTTCTTTTTGTATTAAAGCCTTTTTTTTCGCATTTTTATTGCTTTTTTTCAGTTATTCCAACTGTGGAACTATTATATCTTTATTATGCTATAGTAATAAAAAAAATGTAATTTAATTAATTAACTATAAATGTAATAACCCAGAATACGAATTAAATGGTTATACTGGATTACTATGACTTTCGTTATCAGCTGAATTGTTAAACATATAGATTTCCAATTTACAGACAGCCGATCTTATCGACTTTCATACATATATAACCTGTAGAACCTATGGTCATTACTCCTATTATATCAATATCGACCGTTTCAAAATTTAAGTTTTGGTGTATGAAGTATGTTTTGAAGTATGCACCGATAACTTTAGTGGATGTAAAGCGTTCGTTTTTTATGTATGTATCAAACTATTCTGACAAAAGTCAATTTCGCTATTGCATATCTTGCAAAATACATACAAAATATATTTTTTTGTTTAAATTAGTTTTTAATTTTTTGCTCAGTTTTATAACTCATTCGTAGAATGACGATTTTTTTTTAATATTTTAATAAATATGTATTTCTAAGGGGCCACAATATGTCCATTCGTTTTTTTTTTTTTTTTCATAAAAATGTCATCAAATAACTAATGAAATTATTTTATTTATTACATACGATGAAAAAAATATTTGTTAAAATTAGAATAAAATGTAATTTTTCTATATCATCATTTAAACTTGTTCTATGATATAATCGTTGACTAACAAGTATAAAATACTGTTTTAACAATGATTTTACTTCAATATAAAAATATACTGTACTTAATTAATATTTATACAAATTGCTAGATCTGAATAAAATAAAATGAAATTGTGAAAAGGCCTCAACAAAAGTGATGACGCCTTATAATCCGGCTCTGGTGATAATAGTGCGATTTAAAACGAAGCAAACAATAGTGCCGGTCCGTTTTCAAACATCGTTATTTTATTATTGGGTAATCATTATTTTACACGGGTAAGACGTTAAAATATATACTCTCATCTTTCCTCACGAATAAAATTATTTTTTGTTAATACTTTTACGTTTCACGTGATCTCGGGTCAGGCAATTGCGCCGTGCGCACACTGGATTTGAGACGCAGATAACATGGGATTGTTATAGTGTGGAACGCGCGAGATAACACTTAAACGGTTGTGTCGACGAGACATCCGCACCTCGCGCGTTCTGAACATCGACGGCAAACACGTTATTGAAACAAAACGACATTACTTCCCATAGTCGATTATGTTCGTTCGAGTGATCGTCGTAATATAATAACAATAATAGTAATAAAAATATCAGTACCTCATATCCGATCGTGCGGAGACTTAACGGTTGGGTGAGACAACGGACGCGGGTCCTGCAAATAACGTATGGAGACCTGCGACGCGCGTAGAACGGACTACGATGATATGCAATTATGATGAGACAACGCGACGGGTGGGCAAACTTGTGTCGACTGCCGTCATCAGATCACTGAAAGAGTCGGCGAATATCGCGCGTGGGCACGGGCCCCGTTTAAACTTAACTCGGCTCCGCCCATCGGTCCTAAGACGACTTAGAAATGCGGCGACGGCGGTGGCGGCAGCAACAACAACAACAACAACAATAACAACAACAACGACGACGATTACTGATGACGACCGACCACCATTCTTTAATGTACTATTATTACGATGTGTATTTGTAAGTACGCACCGGTCGAGAGAAGAAAAAAAATCAACACAGGCACACACGTTGAGACACCACAAGGACTTACGGTGCGAAACGTAACCGATCGCTTTCGGCGACTTCACCTTCTCGCCAACGGATTACGAACTCCGACTCGGAGACTTGCGGAGTCCGAACCGCATGCACCACGTGTCTGCTGTACCGCCGCCGTTCCGATGGGCGGGAAAATAATGTAATTAAAACCGTCACCATCAAATGGATGAGGGTTGGTTATTATCTAGAGCAGCGGTCGGCAACCTTTTGAACCTAATAAATACGTAAATCTACGGACCACTTGCATGGTTTTCTCTTTTTTTCGTAAATAAAATCTGAACCAATGTGCACGACGTCACACCAAAACACTTTTTTCATGTTATAACTGTAAAGCAACTCATGAGTCATGGACGGTTGAGATATTATTGCTAGGTATTAAAGATATAGTTTTATAACATATATCTACCTATTTAGTTATTACTAGGGCTAGGATTTTTATGCAATAAAAAATTGTATAATATGCATTTTATTTATCAAAATATACAAAAACAAATTTTTATTATTTCTAGAATTATTATTTATCATAACTTGTTATTATTAGATTAAATATTAGTTTATACTAATATAGTTTATAAGTCGTACAAATTAAATGAAAAACGGACCCCGGGCCGGGCTTTTAAATTTTTAAATCTATTACGGTCCAGACAGGGTTTTTTCAGAATGTAAAAACTTGTACAAAAATTCAATTTTACTGATAAAACATTCCTTAGGTCCGAGCCGGGCTTTGAAAAATATATTTAAAGCTTTAAGTCTGTTTCACAGCCGAACATTCGTACGTGGCGTTTTTTAATTTACATTGTTTAAGTTCATGCGTGCCGATCGAAAAATCCCATATGCACCCTCGTAATTTCGGCGCATATGAACTTAAATAATGTAATTCGAAAACGTGACAATCGATACGCGCGACTGTAAGACAACCTTATACGTTAGCAAAGACTTTGTACCGGACCGGGCCTAACATTTTTGGCCCATGCAGATCTCTAATAAGTACATCTTAAAATAATGAATGGATAATTATATCGGTCGTTCGACCGATATAAGATTATATTTGTAGTATATTTACGACGATTCGAAAAATAATCCTTCATTAGATAAATACTATCTAAAATTAACAATAACTTAAAAATAATTAAATAAACTTGAAATTTTAAGTTTAAAAATTAACAAAACTAACAGGATTCTAAAAAATCTATAAATATACAATTATATGCATTATGTTCAAAATATACAAAAATATGCAAAGTAAAAATGATTTTACTTAATCGATAATTAGCCTTATCATGAACATACTGAAAACCAATCAAATTAGATTTGAGAAAAAAAAAACAAATGCATATAAATCCTAGTCCTATGAGTCATGACCGTTTGATGATTAACGAAATTAAATTGCAAATAACGTTAATATTGTTATGAGGACCATCATAATTTTCTCGAGGACCGCCGGTTGAGGGACCGTGCTGTCCTAGAGGCATATTACACGATTTTGTAACATGCCTCATATTACCAACAATAATGTAACACGTATAAGTCTGTTGGTGTGTAATATGCCATATGATATCTACTAATAAAAATTATAATATGAATGAAAAAACGTATTTTTAGCTTTTCACATAATCAAAAATATAATAACTTATACATTAAGTGTATATAATACAAATTCTCAAAAAACTTTATTATACACGTGCGAACGTATTCTCTACTAATGTGTTTACTATATTCATATTTAAGTATAAAATAAGTAATAAAAACAGAACGACAAATGCACGAACGTCACACTTGCAGAGGGTCAGCTACAAAAGATCATCCACCAAAATATATAAGGGCTCCAGATTGGCACTAAATTCCGACGTTTCCAGAGCTATTCAGTATGGAAGCTCTGCTTATTCGGTCATCGTCTTAGTTGTAACTTCGCTGATTTTTCTAATTATTAAATAAATCACCAACAATGTCGTAAAATGTATTTTTTACAGGTATAATTATTGAATTTGTCCCAGTCTTAACATTTAATACTTAACATTAATGAAACCTACTCTGCCTAATGCACAATCCGGCACTTTATTTAAAACCTACTACATATAAAATAAGTATTAATAATAACACAAATAGTTCTTATATTAAAATTGTAACTTCAGTCTGAATCATGTATAAAAAAAACAACAAATAATCATAGTAGTAATTAATAGTATCTATTAAATATTTTTTAAAAACTTTAAAAAACAATTAAGATAGATAACTTAATTTAACAAATACCTAAGTAAAAAACATAAGATTCATAAGTAGTCAAATAAATTCCAAATTTCCATTTTTTTATTTTGGCAAATTTCTTGATTGTTTCATCAATAGATACGATAATATTTTTATGAACATGAAACAAAGCCAAATTTGTTAGTCTATACTGGTCTATTCTTGATTTTAATCATGTTTTCAATTTACAAAAATATAATTTTGGCCAATTAAGCAAATTAAAGAATATGGAAACAAATATTGTCAGTTATTATGATTATTATTCGGGTTAGAGGCTTCTAGCTTTATAAAATACACAAAATACACATGCATTTGTGCACAAAAATGATTAAACACCTATGCACAACAAAAATTATATTAACAAATCTTATGTTGTAAAAAAAAAAATAGGTGAGTAAAATTATTAAGGACTTATATAGCTCTAATAAATAGAAAAATATATAATATGCATAAATGCACCAAAAAATGACTAACTAGTAAATATGTAGTTACTTAGTTACACTGTAAAAAGTGTCACTTTAAATTACTTTATATTATCTAATAAATACCTAGGTTATGGTTGTAAATGTCTATAACCGTAGAACTATTATCCGTGGAAGATAATACCACTA